ATATAGTTTTTTCTGCTGAAATATTGGAAGGGTTAATGGATGGATCTGTTTATCCATATGTTAATGGATGAATGATCAAATGTTGTGGCCAGAACATACATACATACAAAAACATCCATATATATGCATATACACATACATACAGAGACACACAGACACACATATGTATATACATACATAAATATATAAAATATATAGCTATATAGGCACACATATAAATATATAAAGTATATACATATATAGGCACACACTATCAAAAATGATGAGTTTTTATGTTTGGCCACATAAAGCAGAATGAAGCCATATTGACAGAATTTCCTCACACAAAAGAATCCATATTCCATTGCCATTTTTAAAAGAGATTTTCCTTATGGCTTGAATGTATCCCCTGCACATTTCTGCCTTTTAACACCCCTATCTTCCTTCAAAATTCAGCTCGTGTATGGCTGCTCACATAATGCTTTTTCTTGCCCCTCAATTTCTGTCATCCCTTGAAATTATTTAGCATTTAATTTGAATATACACATATACCTAATCTATTTACATGTGTATATGTCATTTTCCTCAAGGGAGTGTAAGCTATTTGAGGGTAGAACTGTTTAATTTTATTCTTTGCATCCCTAGTGACATACATAGGGTAGGTGCTTAAAATGCTTATTGAGTAATGAATTTAAATTGCCAAGAGACAAACCTTACTGTAAGAGGGAGAAATGTTTTGTTAATATTGAAATCATCCAATATTTTGATACAGTCTCAAACATTTATTAGGTTCCATTTCTTTGGGGAGTTTTCAAGCAGACATTGTATTTATGTAATAGTAGAGATTTCTTTTGGATATGTACTGGGCCAAATCATTGGTGAGGGCTTTTTGTTTTCCTTTATACAGTTGTGCAGTAACAAACAGATTTTTGAAGCCTAACTACTTTTCCTACCCCTATTCTTTTGGGTATTTTTTTCAGTATAGCAATATCATCTGTGTTCCACATAGTATCATGGGGTTAAATATAGGAATCAGAATTGTGAAGAGAAGAGAAACATGTTGTCTATTCATGCTGAATCACCTGATTTGGATCTAAAATAAGCCATTGTGTCCAATCTTAAGAATAAAGTCACAGTTATCATGTAGGAGCAGTAAGTGGAAAAGGCTTTGAATTCCCTGTGGTTTATGTCAGCTTCAGGATGGTGTTGATGCTTTTAACTGAAGAACCAAATATCAATAGAATGGGAATCAAACCAAAACTGCACAGAATCACCATAGGCAGAGGTCTCATTCAAAGAGGTGTCCCCACAATCTTGTTTTAGTAATGGTGGGAGGTCACAGGATTATTACTTAGGTCATTGGGACCACCAAAAGACAGTGAGGAATTCTTGCTTTATCACGACATGATCATGTTCTACCCTATTTCCTGACTTTTAACTATATCCTAAAGCAGGGCTATTCTTCCAAGGTGGGAAGGTCACTGTCCCAAGCTTCAGGGTTACTTGTATCATTGCTTTCAGAGCTAATTATTGATATTTATAAGTTAATAATTTTTCCAAGGTAGTATGATCTAAGGAGTGGTGTGTTTACTAGTCATCGGGATTGTTCTCTGGTCTGTAAGTAAACGGTATTTGTACTTTACACTGGTCTTGATTTTTCTTTTATGCTTTACCATTTCTGCCCACCATATTTCTAGAAGGACACTGAACATATGGAGGCTAATCGATGAACATAACTAGGAGAGTGAGGAATATGAATATCATGATTAATTGAGGTAAATTGGGTTTCATATCCTGGAGAAAAAGAATATAGCAGATACAATAACGGTCTTCATTTGTTTAGCGAGTTATATTTTCAAAATAATATTATATTGTGCAGTATACTGTAGAATGAATTGCTAGTCATACATATGTTATCTATATAGTTCCTGAGGTACTTTTCATTTCTCACTTATGTGAATTAATATTTTACTAACGGTGATAAACTACCTTGTGGGTAAATTCACTTACTCTCCCTCTCTGCTGTTTACATACTGCCTATTTATAAAAAGGCATACTAATATAGAAATGGTACGGTTGTGAAACATTCTAAGAATTCCTGAAAAAAATTGGAAATATTGAAAAAAAAAGATAGCATTTAGTTGTGCATGCCATTTGAACATGGAAGATCCATGACTGGAATTTCTGGACACAAGACCCAAGGAGAGTATAAACAGAATGAAAAAAACCTTTAAATTAAGTTAAAGAAAACAAAATACACATTTGCAACTTAAATGAAAGCAAAAATACAAAACATAACATCTCAGATTAAACGTAGTAAGCAATCTCAGTCCTAGTGGACAGACAACTGAACTAATTTCTTTTGTATATACCATTAGATATATAAAACTTATCTATATAATCTTATCTGAAACTGGATTACACAAATGAATGGGTTGATTGATTTTATTTTAAGAAGAAAAAATCACAAAAAATTAAGGATTAATTATGTATTATTATATTCTGAGGGTACTTAAAACTCACATTAGCATGAATATAGGGACACAAAAATAGAAATACACATCCATGATAGATACACACATGAATACACATGTATAAATGAGACATTTTGTTGTTTTTGTTGTTAAGTCATTTTAGTCATATCTGACTCTCTGACAACATTTGTGGGTTTTTCTAGGGAAAGATACAGGAGTGGCTTATCATTTCCTTCTCCAGCTCATTTTATAGATGAGGAACTGAGGCAAACAGGATTATGTGACTTGCTCAGGGTTACAAAGCTAGTATATACCTAAGACAGGATTTAAAATTAGATCCTCTTGACTACACTGCCAACTCTTTTTTTTAATCTTTCTTTTTAAATTTTAGACTTAAATACTAAAACTTAGATACATAATGTGAAAAGAAAAAAGAAACATATAAACTTAAATATAAAATAAGAAAAGAAAAAACATGTAATATGAATAGTAGAACATAAGATAGAATTCAAAATATATAGCAATAGATTTCCATTTCAAGAAAGCCTATATAATAAATACTACACATTGTGTTGAGAGCTGTCTGTTTTTTCTTTGCTTCCTTATAGGTTTTCTTTTGTTCTCTGCTGTACACTTTGTACCTCTGTCTCTTCTCCCTTTTCCTCTCCCCCTCAGGCTACAATTAAGCATGAATATATTTATATATAGATATATACATATGTGTATATATATATATATATATGTATATACATATATATATACACATATACTGTCCCTAACAGATTCTACTCCAAACCTTTAGTTTTATATTTCTGCATATCTTTCTTATTTCCTATCCCTCATGACTGCTCTACTATACTTCTACCCACAATTTTGACTTTCTATTGCTTAACTTATCCTCCCTTCAAAGATTCCTCACTTGCCCTTCCATTCCCAAAAATCTAAGCACCCTTTTATGGGCCTCTTTGATCTATTCCTTCACTTTCTCCTCTAAAGATCTTTCCCTCACCCTTCCAAGGATCCCTCCCTTATTCTCTTATTCCCATTAATCTAAACACCCTTCTGTATCCCCTTTAAACTATTCACTAAACCTCCCCTCTAAAGATTCACTTCCTATCCTCTCACCCCTTCTTATCCCTTAGTGTTTTATTTATTTCTAAATTTAGAAGTCTTTTATAGTAGGTTAGATGTATGTGTTTTATTCCCTCTTGAACCCATTCCAGATGAAAGTAAGTTTCCAGAACTAACAGTCCTCCACCCCCATCTAATTCCTCTATATCGGTTCTTCCTCTCACACCACATTTGTATAAAATAATTGCTCTTTTTAGCTATTCCTGAATGGTTTTACTTTTTGAAGTCATATCATACTAAGGTTTATGCCATTCTTTCTTATGAACTACTCAATTACTAATAATAATATTAGACATCTGTTTTACATGTTACATATACAAAGGGTAAACAGTCTGTCCTTATTTAGTCCCTTGTAATTAGTCCTTGGAATGTACCTTATGTTTCTCCTGACTCTTATATGTCAACTCTTCTATTAAGTTCAGATTTTTTAAAACAACATCCTGAAAGTCTGACAACTCATTAAATGTCCTTTTTTTTAAATCCAGGTTTATGCTTAGTTTTGCTGGATATGCTATTTTCAGCTGGAAAGGTGGTTCTTTAGCTCTTTGATATATAGTGTTCCAAGACCTGCAGTCTTTCAGTGTAGCCACTGCTAGGTCTTGTGTGCTTCTAATTGTGGCACCACCATATGCATTTTTTCCTGTTGCTGATAATATCTTATCCTTGAGCTGGGACTTTTGGATTTTGACCATAATATTCTCTGGGTTTTCCTCATAGGATTCCTTTCATGTGGTGATGGGTGGATTTTTTCTATTATTACTTTCCCCTCTTGTTCTTATTCTTCAGGACAATTTTCTTTAATTATTTCATATATCATTGTATCAAGATTATTTTCAATCACAGCTTTCAGGTAGTCTGATTATTATTATATTTTCTCTTCTTTATCTGTTCTCAAGATCAGTTGTTTTTTTTTAATTTTCTCATGAGATGTTTCACATTCTCTTCTATTTTTTCATTATTTGTATTTTGTTTTATTATTTCTTGATCTCTTATAACTTTGCTGGCTGCCTCTTTCCCAATTCTGATTTTCAAGGAGTCATTTTCTTCCTTAAGATTCTAGATGTTCTTTTTTTAACTGGTCTACTTTCTTTTCATAATCTTCTTACTTTTTCTTGGATTGTTCCTTTTTTTAGTTTTTTCTCAATCTCTCATTTGATTTTTAAAGATTTTTTTAAGTTTTTCTATTAATTCTTTTTGGATAGAGGGCCAACTCTTTATCCACAGAACCATCTAGCTATCCTCTCACATGAGACATGGATAGATAGATGATCATCCATATATGATTGTTATCATAAAAAGAAAAAAAAACTTTTCAAACTTATTCAGTGGAAGGGAAAAGAGTAAGATTTCAGAAAGAATTTAGATGAAGGAGTATTCAATGACAGAAGTATAATTTGACATAGAGAATTTTTTTTTTTACCATTTTGCTTGTAATAATTTTTTCAGTGCATCAATGATGTCTTTATTTCTCAGGCTGTATATCATGGGATTAAACATTGGGGTTACAATGGTGTACAAAAGAGAGAGTATTTTGTCAGTTCTTCCTGAGTTGTTTGACTTGGGTCTTGAATATGTAATGGTTGCTGACCCAAAGAATAAAATAACAACTATAAGGTGAGAAGAGCAAGTTGAGAAGGCTTTATATTTTCCTGTGTTTGATGGCAGCTTCAGGATGGTAGAAATGATTTTGACATAAGATCTGATTATCAATAGAAAGGGTATCATGACAAACAACACTGCAACAACATAGACAGAGAACTCTATCACAGAGGTATCTGAACAAGCCAACTTCAATAATGGGGGGATATCACAGAAAACATGATTAAGTTTATTAGAATCACAGAAAGGCAGAGAAAAAACATGATATGTCTGCCCAATCATAACTGGGATTCCAATGGTCCAGGAACCAAACACAAGCTGGAAACAAACCTTATGGTTCATGATGAGAGGGTAGTAGAGTGGTTTACAGATGGCCACATAACGATCATAAGCCATCACAGTCAAGAGTAAGCACTCAGTGCTTCCAAGAATAAGGAGGAAACAAAGTTGAATAGCACAGGCCAAAAAGGAAATACTTCTATCATGGGTCCAAAGATTTGTCAACATATTGGGGAGAGTGACTGATGTGTAACAGATTTCCAAGAAAGAAAAGTTCCCAAGGAAAAAATACATGGGAGTGTGGAGAGCTCGAAAAACTTTGGTTACTAAAATGATGAGTCCATTTCCTATCAGGATACTCATGTAGATAATTAAGAAAATGCCAAACAAAAAACCTTGGAAATTATGAAGATCAGAAAATCCAAGTAGAATGAATTCCACTACAGTAGTAAGATTTGTTCCTACCATTATTTTCTTCTATAGTTCATCTATAGTAATGTTGATTATGGGACAGCAAAGTCACATCATCTCCCTTGGTTTGCAATTTCCTTTGTTTCTGTGAAAATAAAGGTGGCAGGTTATATAATCTCTGAGTACCTTGAATTCTGTGTTTTAATATCCCTTCAAATGCCACCAATGTATATTTTGTTATTTTAGTTTTGACATTGTTTATTTTACATTGTGTTTCCATTTTAGGGCTGCCATTTTATGGCATGTGCTCTAAAGTCCTTAATCTCTCAATTTTGTCTTTGGAGCTTAAAAGCAACTTTTCTGCCCTATCGTTCTATACTCTATGTGTATAGGTCCTTCCAAATGCTAATATTCTAGGTTTTTTGTTTTAAGATTGCTTCCATCTAAACATTTTCTCAGTTTAAGATTTTCTGACAATCAGAATTAAATAATATAATTAAATAATGATTGATATTTGAATTGAAATGAGGAGGCAGGACATGGGAGAAACATCTTGTGAAATAAAAATAAATATAAACAATACACATTTGAATACCATTCTCTCTATCTACTTTCTTGTTTTGTTTTCTAAAGGATGTTGTTTCTGGGGAGTAGAAGGAATGTTTTGCTGCTGCTGTTGTCTGTCCTTTGTTCTTGAAGAGGACCATGACATCAGAGAGATGATGCGATGGCATGCAAGTGAATTGAATTTTACTGAGGGTGGGCTGTGCAAAGTCACCAGTCTCACTTTCTCCTCTGAAGTCATTTGGGTCCAGTGGCCAGATATGGATCAGTACAACTGGAGATGGCTCAAGATGCCATAGGAGACCTTGGCCTTCTCAAACTAAGGTCTTTAACAGGTTTACATTCATTCTGAGCCAATCAGGGCCCAAATAGTGACCAAGTAGGACTTGGTCTGGAGAAAGAGTGATTTGCAGTTAAGGTTGATCTTTAAGGGAAAAACCAAAACAAAGAAAAACATTTCAGAGATTGAAATTTACATTCTCTTTGAGCAGACCACCAGCAGGTAAGGATGTGATAGCCCATGTGGAGAGAGAAGAAAGGAAAGAAAGAAAGAAAATGGAAAAAGATGAAGAAAGAGAAAAAAGGAAGAAAGAAAGATAAAAAGAAAGAGAAGAAATATAGAAAAAATATAAGATGAGAGAGAAAGAGAAAGAGAAAGAAGAAAGAAAGCAAGAAAGAAAGCAGAAAGGAAGGAAGGAAGGAAGAAAGAAAGAAAGAAAGAAAGAAAGAAAGAAAGAAAGAAAGAAAGATAGAAAGAAAGAAGCTGTTTTGCCCAACTTGAAGTTCTTTAATACTAATACATTCTATTCTATTTATGGAATAATGTTTTTCTACTCACTGTTCCTCATTTATCAGTGTCATTCACTATTTTCACATGTCAGTTCAATTTCAACCTCCTCAATGTCTCCTTCACAGAATTTTGCGTCTGTATCAGAGCAATCTTTTTTTTTGAATCAATAGAAGATCTGATGTCTAGAATAAACATACAATGTGGAGATGCAGTGGGTTGAATGCTGCTCTTGTATACAGGAAAAATGAGTCACAGTCTTGCTTCAGCTAGTAAAGAGTTCTGTAGTCTGGATAAATAAAGGTGTCTCAATCATAGTTTTTCCCCCTAATACTAAATACAGACAAATACAAATATAAAAGACATTCCATATCTAAAATTTATATTTTCAAAGGATGGTTATGATGATAGTGACTATGATAGTGATATTGATATGATAGTGATTGATAATGATTAATAATAATAATAATAATAAATCAACATGTACTTCATGGAATTTTGGGGAAAAAGAAATGAAAGAATATATGAATATTTTTTAAAAGTGTCCAAATAAATGCTTGCTATTATTAGCAATAGTATGCATTAGAAATCTTAAATTTGTTGTCTTTTCTTCCTCTTTATCTTCCTTCCTTCCATTCTTTCATTCTTTTAATCTCTTTCTTCTTCTCTTCCTCTTTATCTTTGTTCTCTTCCCTTTCATTCTTCTTCTTCTTCTTTTCCTCTTCTTCTAATTCTTCTATTTTTTCTTCTTCTCTTATTTATAAACACAGACATTTATCTTAATACCCAGCAAATAATACAAATGCATATTAAAGGGTTTATATGTAAGGATAAAGGTTTGGATAATAAAACTATAGCAACAGGAAAATATGTTTTTTTCTTTCCCTCAGAATAACTAATTGTCTTCTGCTCATCTTTATCTTTTATGAGAGTCCCCAAAGGCACTGATCATCTGGATCTATACTCCATTGTCAATGCCTTAAATTTACCTAAGTTCTAGACATATTCCCTTTCACAATTTACCTGTTCATCACAGCCATTCAGGTTATAAACAACTGAAACCAAAATCTTCCTACCCGCTACATTACTCTTCCTAGAGGATTTTAAATGGGAGCAAAAGGACTTTATAGGAATAAAAATTTATTTATATTTATTTTCATATATTGTTATTTATATATGTATATGTTTATTTAGACTTATTTTAATACTACTTTAATTAATTAAAATTGATCGATTAAATTTAATTTTTCAATTTAAGCAATTGATTATATTTATTTTTTATTTATTTTAAACTTAAATACAGAGTGAGAAAAGAAAAAAAATATTGCCATGTGCACAGCAGAATATGATATGATTCAATATAAAACAAAAAATTTGCATTTTTAAAGACCTATATAACAAATACTACACATTGTTTTCAAAGCTGCCCAGCTTTTCTTTGCTTCCTTGTAGGTTTTCTTTTGTTCTCTGCTGTGCATTTTTTACATTATCTTTTTCCCCTCCTTTCCCCTATAATTAGGAATACACACATGCACACACACACACACGCACACACATGCACACACATACATATATGCATTCATACACATTTAGGTAAGACCATTCTATATTTATTTCCACTTGTCATCTGTTTCTCTGAAGGTGGATAGCATCTTCCTTCATAAGTCCAAGTCTTTCCACATCTTTCGAAATCAACTGTGCCATCATTTCCTACACTACAACAATGTTCCAACCCAATCACATCCATTATGTGAGATTGTCTATGCAAGTTTTTTCCCCAGTTTTCTGCATTCCTCTTGTTCTTGTCTGCATGTTTTATTTATGAAACAATTCATTTAAAATAATCAAAATTATCCATTTTATACTTCAGTAATATTCTTACCTTATAATATACTTTAAGGTCTGATATTGCTGAATCTGTTTCCCATACATCTTTTTTCCTCTGGTTTCTTTGAAGGTGTTGAACTTTTGTTTTTTTAAATGAACTTTCTTATTTTTTTTCTGACTCATAAATGTATTAGGTGAAATTGTAATTTTTATCATGTTGTCTTTACCAATCCTAACACAAGAAATGTTATTTTAATTATTTAGATCTGACTTCATACACCCAGCTATATTTTACTGTCTAGTTAATTTAAATGGTCTAAAACAGTATTGAATAATACTGCCTACACATATTGTAGTTTCTGAGTTTCTCTTTTATTTAAATCTATTTTAGATTCAGCAAAATACTTTTTTCTCAATTGGATATTGAGTACCTATGTCTCCAAACAACAAATTAATTAAGTCAGAGTCACAGATTTTTAGAGCTAGAAAGAATCCCAGTAGCCATCCAGTACAGATGAAGCTAGATAGAATTTGCACCACAGCATCGTAAACAAGAGTCCATCTAGCCACTGATTATGGATTACTAATAAAGGCAATGGATAGAACACTAGACCTAGACCTAGAGTCTAGAATTCTTGAGTTCAAATCTGGCTGCAGATATTAACTTTGTGACTCCCTGCATTCACTTAAACTCTGCTTCAATTTTTTCACTTGTAAAATAAATCTAATGACAATATTTATATCCCAAAGTTACTTTAAAGATAAAATGTGAATATATTTGAGAAGCACATTGCAAACACTAAAGTAATATGTAAATGTTGTTGCTCCTGAAGATGATGATTCCCTTAAGGCAATAAACACATTAAATTTTTAGATAGATCTAATATTATGAAAGGACAACTAGGTAGCTTATTGGATAGAGCATTGGGTCAGGAGTCAGGAAGACTAGAGCTCAAAACTTGCAGCCTATAACAGGAGATAACTGGCATTTTTAGAGTTTTTATACAACAGAAATAAACAGGTATATTACAGATAAGATGAAGTTTATGTTGCCTTCTAGATATGAAGATTCCCTTCTATTTATTATATATTCTAAAATCAATTTCACTGCTGACATTATTCTTTCCACCTTCACCTGACACTACCAACACACACACACACACACACACACACACACACACACACACAGAGGCATTTAATCCAACTTTTGATATTATGTATTTTAAGGTTGCATCTGGAGCTGAAAAATATATATTCTGGTTTTTTTCCTTCTCTATCATGCAGGTGTTCTAGCTTCTACTGGTACACATTCTAAATCCATTTCCTAGAGTTAGCTGGCATTCTAAACTCTTTTTAAGGCTACATTGTCCTATAAATATATTACTTCAAAATTCTGAAACATTTGAACTTAACAGTAAACCATGTGGCATTATAAAATAGTTGAAATCTACACAAAATATAATAAAACAAAAGATAAAAGTGATACCATCCACATGCAATGTTTCAGTTTTCCTTGAATATGAGCACTTGAGAGTAAGAGCTGTATAACCTATAGCTGTACTTGCTATAGGTTATAGAAAGGGGAAAAAAATGAAATTTAATGACCCCTTCCAAACATGGATTGCCTTTCTACTTCTTATCATATGATCATATTTTCTTTTCCTATCAATTTGAAAAATCCCCCCACTATTTTTGTCATATCATTATCTTAATTTTTCAATAACTCATTTGCTCCTCCTCTAAATAGGCTTCTCTGATCTCCCAAAGTCAAAGCAATCTTCCATTCATCTAAAATCTTTTACAGCAATTCTTCTCATCAAATCATGCTGATATCCATGGTGTGTGGGGAATTTGACACATATTATGAATGTGTGCCCAT